TCCCAGGTCTTCACCACACTATTATCTGTGTTCCTAGGTTATGCATATATGCATGTAAATTCTTTTGTTAATCTCTTCCTGCCTCTCTCCCCCTGAGGTTCAGAAATTAAAGAGAAGTTACTGCAGACATCACAAAAATACAAAGGGTCATAAGCGAATACTATGTAGGACTATATGCAACCAAATTCAATAACCTAGGAGAAATGGATGAGTTACTAGAAATATATAACCCTCCTATGCTGAATCATGAACTGGAAAATCTAAGTAGACGGATCAACAGTGTGGAAACTGAAACAGTCATCAAAAACCTCCCAACAAATAAAAGTCGAGGACTAGATGGCTTCAACTACTGAATTCTACCAAACATCCAAAGAAGGTTTGATACCTATCATTCTCAAACTCTTCTAAAATATTGAAGAAGAGGCAGTACTTCCTAACATATTTTATGAGAACAACATAATTCTGATACCAAAACCTAGCAAAGATAACACACACAAAATGAAAACTACAGATCAATATCTCTGATGAATACAGATGCAAAACTCCTAAACAAAATACTAGCAAATATAATACAAAAATACTTTAAAATCATGTGACCATACCAATAGATGCAGAAAAAGCATTTGATAATATACAACATCCATTTATGATTAAAACACTGAATAAAATGGGTACTGAAGAAAAGAACCTCAACATAATAAAGGCCATATATGACAAATCCTCAGCTAATATACTCAATGGTGAGAAACTGAAAGCTTTCCCTCTAAGATCAGGAACAAGACAAGGATGTCCACTCTCACCACTCTTATTCAACATATTTCTGGAAGTCCTAGCCAGAGCAATCAAGCAAGAGAAAGAAATAAAAGGCATCCAAATGGGAATGAAGAACATTTTCTCTATACACCCCTAAAAACAGTCATATAAACGACAGAGGTCAGTACATGCTTAAGGACACATAACAAAAAGGAAAATTTAAACATCCTAAAATTTGATCCAATTGACCCATTTAAGTTTTAAGATAAAATATAGACATCGAGAACTATTAGTGTAATTCAGACAAGAGCATATCTTAGTAACTAAATAATAAATCCCAGGAAATGTTATTTAAATATAAAAATGCACAGATAAATAGATGATGTTCAGCTTTATAAAAAAGCAGGTACATTCTTATTTCAATCCTAAACTAGCCTGAAGGCCTGATGTGGTTGTAAAAGAATTTATCCTCAGATAACAGGGCATAGTTTATGACAGCAATCTACCTAAAAACTCATTAAAGTTTTTTCTCTTGGAGTGACATGCATTATCAGCAGAGATTAATCTGATGAGTCTTTAGGTGAGTTCCATTTTTAAAAATGCAATAACAGAGGGCTTTGTTTTCATCTGATGAAAATCAATTAGAAGAGGTAAGGCCACAAGGAAAACTAAAATCACTCATCACCCACCCCTGGCAGCTGAAATGATTTATCTTCCAAGCTTGGATGATCAGGAGCTATAGTCATATTGCAGGAAAATTAATTTAGTTTCTATATTCTGAACTCACTTTCCTTGTTCTGGAGGATCTAAACACAAATTACTTTTAATCAAGGTTGATATGTTATTAACACCAAGGAGGATCTTTGAAGAACCATTTTTTTAAAATCGACTTTAGCATTTTTCACCTGTGCTTGGGGTGTAAACATAGGAAGATAACTTATATTATTCTTACTTTCTGGATTCTTTGTCCACAACAAGGCAATGTACTGAATGGCGAAGACAATAGATTCCACCAAATACAGCACACATCCTAGGAAGAGAATAGGAAAATGAGAATTAGGATTCTCAAGTTGAAAATTGAAGTAACATTATTTTCTTTTAAATATCTTACATTTAATAATTTGTCATACAGAAAAAGGACTTTGATAATTTATTATTTTCTCTATCATGGTATTAAGAATATCTCAGAAGTAAAATTAGTAATATTTTGACAAAACAGAAGTCCTACTGCTAATAATACATTGTGGAAGCCTAGAATTGTGAACAAACCAAAAGTATCCCTAAACAAAGCTGAGCTATCCCCCCCGCAAACCAGCTATTGACTACCTAAGATACACAGGCTACAAATCAAACAGCCTCAAGAGGTGATGTATGAGATCCCCCAACAGAATTGATGGCACAGAAGTGTTAAGGAAGAAACAAGCAGGGAAGACTCTGGGAGACCCCTAGAGACTTTGCTTACCATAAAAGCAAGCAAAAACTAAACAGAGAACTGAAACTAGAGCAGTAAGCACATGAGATAATGCTGTAGAAGCTCTAAGGAGTTTGCCTATCTCATTAATTTAATAAGGGTTTGGGTTTTAATTCCCACATAGGGAAAGGAGAGGTCTTAGGTTCCAAACAAGGCAGGTAATAGGATATTAGATATTCTCTCATAATGTCTGGATCCTTAAAGGACTACATCTCAGTTAAAGGGTGATCTAAGGAAAAAACAAAAACAACAACAACCTGTTTTCTCTAAAGCCCTGGGTGGAGGGTGACTATACCTCTGCCCTCACACAGGTTGAGGGTTTGAAATTGCCCAAGAAACCTTGCCCAATAAAATACCATGGAAAGTGGCTCTGGGTCATAGTACCCCTGGAGTCTTGTTGGAAGTAATTGCTAAAACTTCCTGGAGCAATATGACCTCAACCCAGGCCACATGAGATTGCCATAGATTGAGTCCCCTTATGGCAAGTTTATAATCTAAGATTATAAAACAGATGAAGAAACATATCTTATCCTGAGTGAGAATTAACAGACACAACAGACAGCAGGATTTGACTCCCAAAAACTTTATTCAGATAGCAGAACTATCACACAGAAATTATGAGCATATTTAAAAGGGATGAGTTAAAAAACATAAGGATAATGGAAAGTCCAGAAAGAAGGCTGTGGTAGGCTGAATAATGCCCTCACCAATGATGTTCACATTCTAATCTCTAGAACCTCTTTACACAGCAAGAGGGACTCTGCAAATGTAGCAAATTAAGTATCTTGAGATTAGGAAATTAACCTGATTTTCCCAGTGGATGCAATGTCAGTGGAAAGGTCCTAAAGAAAGGAAGCAGGAGACTCGGAGTCAGAGAAGATCTAAAGATAGAAGGAGAGATTATAGTAATATCACTGCAGAAAAGGGATAACAAGTCAAGGAATGCAGACAGCCTTTAGAAATTGTAAAATGCAAGAATCAGATTCTCCCCTAGAACCCCAAGAAGGAATGCAGCCTTGAATACCCATTTTATACTACTGACTTCTAGGACTATAACAAATTTATTTTGTTTTAAGCTACTAAATTTGTGGTAATTTGTTATGGCAGCAATAGCAAACTAACACAAAGATGCATAAATACACAAACATGATCATGACATCAGTGGCATTACAGACCAATGGGGAAAGAATGGACCACTGAAAAAATGGTTTTGAGATAATATAGAGAAAATAATTATATCCCTGCTTTACACCATATTCAGAATCAATTCCAGGTAGATTAAAGGCATAAATATAAAAGGGAAAACCTCTAGAATAAAATACAGAAGAACACATTTTGGGTCTCGGGGAAAAGAAATAATTCTTAAATTAAGATGCAAAAAGCAAAATCATTAACATAGGCAGCAAAATCTCAGATATCCCTTGTAGCAATGTACTTGCCAATACATCTTCTAGGGCAAGAGAAACAGGAGAAAATAAACAAATAGGACTACATCAGAATAAAAAGGTTCTGCATATCAAAAGAAACCATCAACAGCCCAGCCAGTGTGGCTTAGTGGTTGAGCATCCACCTAGGGTCCAGGAGATAAGGGTTCGATTCCCAGTCAGCGCACATACCCAGGCTGTGGGCTCCATCCCCAGTCGGGCTCATGCAGGAGGCAGCCAATCAATGATTCTCTT